GGGCCCCGCTTTCCGGCCCCGTCCCGCCGCCGCCTGAGGTGAGGGGAAGGGGCGAGAGGCGGGAAGGACGAACCCCGTCCTGCCCCGCTTCCCGTCTCCCTCAGCGTTTAGGCCTCGACGGCTCACGACCCCGAGGGTTTGCTCGTCTGGCAGAAACCAGCAGTAGAAAAGCGGTTTTTTAACAGCAAAAGTAGTTCTGCTGCAGCACAGAAGTTTGGTAGGGAAAAAACAAACAAACAAACAAACACCCATCTGTGTTTCAGAGCGACTGAAGCCAGCGTTTTCGTGCCTGGCAGCGAAGCTCCCCACCTGCGTTACACAGCTTCTTTCCCCTCTTTTACGCAGATCCGAATGGCTTCTTCTCATGTTTGTATGTCTCGTCTAAGGATTTCTTTGCCATTTCAGAGATGGAGGCCCACGCTCGGGATTGTCGGTGAACCTTCAAAAAGCCATTTCAGTTCAGTTTGAAGCATCATTTCTTATTTTAAGATAGTGAAAGTGGCTCTTAAGAGACTTCTGCTTTTTTCCCTGACTCGTAGAACTACTTAAAAGCACAAGGTATAGCAGCTCTAGTTAATTTTCAGTATTGAGAACATTACTGCAAATTTGAACTCTTTGCTGCGTGGTTTTCAACAAAGAAGGAAGAGTTTTCAACTTGGCTTCAAAGTAGCTTTTAACGCCGTTTTTCTTGATTTGGAGACATACATTAACTTTTTGGGTATAATTTCTTACTTTGCCTTACTACAGTCTCTGGGGTGGTCGGAGGAGGAGACAGCCTTCACGTCTGGCATATTTTCACTTATTTAAAGCCAAAAGTAAGGTAACGTGCATTCAGTGTTGTACACTAAGCTGGGAAAGAGGATCTGCAGCAGATTTGGATCTGTAAGTTTCCTCTAATATTTCATGTGACTCGAAAAGGGGATGGAGCCAAGGGCAGGGCTGATGCTGAGGAGTTCTCAAGCATTTTGGGTATGGACAAATGCGATAAGGCAGAAAAAGAGAAGTTGTCACTGTCAGTTAGACCGATGTTCCTCCTCTCCTGTTGCAAGACAAAAGTGTTTCAAAGAAGAGTAAAAAAGATAATGACAGATTAACTTCCTAACCTCATTCACGTAGTAGCTGACGGATGCACTGATACTGGAGAGTTTAGTAATCCTTACTTTAAAATTAAATTCTTGTGTGTACAATATGTTCATGCTATCTGTATAAATACAGCCGTATGTTTAGTGGGTCAGTCAGCCCTTCCTCCCACCCACCCTCTTTCTCCACCTTTTAAGGATGGCAAAAGTTCCTGGTTCCTCTGTGCACACATGCAGCAGCTCAGCATTTTCAAATCTTAAGACATTCTTGACCTCCATGAATGTTTTATAGCTTAAACTCTACCAATAGTAATGTGCTGTGTAAAAAGCATTTCCATTTGTCACTTGTAAATTCTCAGCTTTTCAGTTTCATTGGTGATGTATTTTATTTTGAGGAGTAAACAGTTGAACGTCATATCCTCTCTTTAAAATTAGCTCATATTTTCATTGTCTCCTAATAAGGGGTTTAATTACTTTTGTCCTTCATTTCTGAATCTCTTCTCTCTCCTTATCCCATCTGTCATCGGTTACAGATACGCTGCTATATTGAGGTCACTCTGAAACTGTAAGAAAGCTTTACAAAAACTGACTAGGTACCCCTCCTCTTAAAATGTAAAAAAAAAAAAGGGAATTCCAGTGTTACATACGTCAACATTATGGATGCAAGATTCTCCCTTACCATATGAAATAAGGAATACGATATCCCCAGGCTTGTGACAGAAACAGAGACAAAGGAAATTTGAACCATATTAATCAATTCGTATCTTTTCAAAGCAAATAGGTATAATAGAAAAATATGTATAATAGAATTCTGTCTTTATTGCATCTCTTGCAACATTCATATTTAATTTTGTAGAAACTCTTTCAGTGGGGTTCCAAGGCGTTTCAAATTTTTGTTTTAGATGCATTTTTCCGATTTTTTTTTTTTCAAATAAGCTTACAGCAGAAATTTATCATTATATCTTTACTGAAAAATCAGATTCTCCCTGAAGTCACACCTTGAGCTTTCACGTGAACTGTCAGGCAATACAAAGTTAAAAGCCTGGTGGTGAGAGCAGAAAAGGGTTTGGTAGGAAAGCAATTCCTAGCTCTCCAGAGCAATGGATATTGCAGTAGATGTTGTTTGTGAAGAAACTGTAACACATTGATTTACTATTTAATGACATTTTTCACTTTAAAAAAATGACTACATATAAAAAACATCTTTTAGGTATCATTTGACTGTGCGGTACTTTACTTAGCTGGTAAACCAAAACGTTAACTTGTGTGTGATACGTAATCCTGATTCGAAGCCCGGGTAGCGACAAAGATGTAAACCAGGAGTTGGGAGTCACTCTGCTCCCTGGCACCCGGTTCACAGAGAATGTAGCAACATGTTCAACTTCCACTGAAATCAGGGAGACTTACACTGTGGCTGCATGTTTTTGCTGAACTTGGGTCACTCTAACCCTGATAAAAAGAACAGTACCGAGAGACACTCACACTTCCTTTCCCTTTTTTTCTTTTCTTGTTTTTCAGTGAGCTTTGACGTTGCTGAGGGCACCTCTGGTAAAGCTGACCACACTTGAGCCAGCAGCAAGAACTGTAATGACTTACGTTGCAAAGAAGTGTGGCATCTGCTTTCAGCCTCCATCCATTATCCTGATCTACAAAGAAGACAACAAGGATAAGACTCGCCAGCGCATCATGCCTGTCAGAAATTTCTCCAAGTTCTCAGGTGCGGTGTGTTTACTTGTGGCATTTCCCAAGTCCTCTCCAGACACAGTGAGAGGAACAGATAGTTGGTAACAGCATTTTTAGTAACTGCTGGGTAGCTTCTCACCGGCATGCAGGGAGTGCAAAGAGGGGTTGTTTTGGGGTAACGCTGTCTCCCCTGAGGAGCCCAAGGCTACATCTTAACCTGAGCAGCAGCTCTGCTACATCTGGAGGTCTTGCTTGTGAGGGTTTGGGAGAAGAGGATCTGTTTATGGGAAGAGATTTGCTTGCAGCTGTAAGTCTTCACAGTGGCTTTCTCTTTAGACTGCGGCTTGGCTGCTGAGCAGCTGAAGAATAACCCTCGGCACAAGGCTTACCTAGAAGGAGTCTCGCTGCATCAGCTAAAGAAGCTGTACAGTTTGCTGAAAGGTCATCTGGGAGGAGAGAGCCTGGCTGAGAGCTTAGACAAGTTTCAGCAGG